GTGGAAGCTATGATATGATTATGAATGGTGGCAGTAAAGCCATAGTCATACAAGATGTTACGTACTGATATTTAAGACTGCTTATCGCCAAAGTGATCAGTTAATTTGGTTTAAACAACTCTAAATACTCATAAAATAACATTTCAGGGTTTTTGTTTTGTTTTTATTGTCAGGTCTAATGCAGTGTTTGTAGTGTTAGTGTGAGTAATCCTGCATAATACAAAATTTAAAGGTGGTGATAATGGAGTTCACAATCAATGACTGTCAGTTAATATTGCCGAAAAAAATAAAAAATAGGAAGAAACAACCACAAAACTAATAATTACATGATGGTTAATTACAGGACAATTTTGTACTACTCATAGTGCTGATATAGTCGGAACCAGTAGATATACAAAAGAAAGAATACAGCAAAGTACAAAATGTAAGTCAATGTTAATAATTTAGGTAGCTAAGTATGTTTAAGGAAGAGTTCACTATAGAATACAAAATAAGAGAGAAGTAAAAGAGCCTAAAATTATGTTATTATTAACAAAGCAAGTCATAGTTTTTCGCTCTTAACATTGTCTCTGTCGCTTAGAACACAGGCCAAGTATGGTATCGTTGAGTTCCTGTACTTGGTTGTACGGGCATAGATTATTTTATACTGATTTCTGATTCTACTTGATGAGATACAAGGAGAGATTTGAGAATAGAGGTGGTGTTGGGGGTCGGAGAGTATGATTTTAGACCATTTTTCTCATGTATTCAGATACCTTTCAACTAAAGTAGTGACGAGCTGACTGAGTTTTACACCACTAGTCCTAATAACTACCTTCAACATCCTTCTCAGGATGGTATAGTCCTTTTCCAGCAGCCCAGGAAAGACTAACGGGGAGAAGTAAAGTAGAATAGGTAAGATACAAAAATTGACAAATTATGAAAGTAGAGGTTGGGTGATTCTAGGTTGTCTGAGTTTCTTAATGTAGTAGGTTAGACAGAACACTTTCTTAGAAATCGTTAGGATATGAGATGTACAAGTAAGGTCGGAAGACAGAACTAGAGCGAGGTATTTTGCATTAGATTTAGTTTCAATTTTAGTCCCCTCATTGCAACAGGCTTCATGAGTACTTACTAGTGTTTGTAGATCTTGTTTATGACTAAAGGAGAAGTCATTAGTCTGGCATTTTGAGGGATTCAGAATGAGAAAATTTAGTTTAGACCATTGACTGATGTCCAACAGGAAGCTATTCAAATTGAAACAGTCTGATTGAGACTTAATGGGAAACTATACATACAGGTCATCTGCATATTTGACGAAGTTGATTTCATCTGAAAGAGGTAAATCACGTGAGAAGATGGAAAAGAGAAACGGAGAGAGAACCCCACAATTAGGAACCTCAGCTTCAGTAAGCAAAGAAGAGGAAGATACTCATTATATACCGCTTACTGCATACTATTAGAGAAGTGAGAGTGTGACCAGTTGATAGCCCAAGGCTCAGTTTGTGTAGGGCTAAGCTTGTTTAACAATAGGCCTCTAGGTACAGAGTCGAAAGCAGATGTATAATCAAGGAACGTACAACGGACATACTTGGACCCTTTGTCTAAGGAGGATACAATGTTGTGATGAAACACAGCAGCAGCGTCCAAAGTACTTCTACCCTGTTTGTAAGCAAACTGCTTTGGATAGTTTGAGAAACTGAGGGAGGGAACAAGTTTTAGTAACAATAACTTCTCCATTAGTTTCAAAAAGGAGAGGTGGTAGCAATAGGTCTAAACTTAACACTATTACCAGAACCTGAGTTTGGTACAGGGATGATTTTAATGTCTTTCCACAGAGAAGGTACAACATTATTAGAAAAAGGAGTGTTGAAAATGTTTGTAAGTGGGTTACTTAAAATATCAGCACATTTCCTTAGGACAATGGCAGGTATACCATCAGGGCCTGGACTCCGTGAAGGTTTAAGAGATTTAAAACATTTAAGAACATCAGAAGTCACTGGTCATATTATTTGTTACATTGAAGCTCAAAGGTACATTAGGAGGGCGGATAAAAGATCTATTAAGAGTATTTACATCAATAGAGGGGGCACAAGAACTATGCTTATTACAACCTGTAATTTCTTTGAAAAGCTTCCACATGTTCCCAGGAGTTTTACATGACAAAATTCTTTGATTATAGATATTTTTTAGCCTCTTCATTTCGGATTTCATTTGGATGTTTTTTCTCCTAAGATCAGATTTATCCTTAGTCTTGTACAGTCTCTCTTTGTTTCTTCGGAGCTTTTTGAGTTGAGGGGAAGAGAAACGGTCTATTCTTTTGAGAAGCATCTGTTTTGGACAGCATACATCAAGGCAGAATTTAAGATAGTCAGTCAGATCGGAAATAGTATCAGTGTTCAGTGAAAAGTTCCCAGTTTGTGTCATTTAACATACTTCTTAGTTTGAGCACGTTTTCTTGTGAGTTACATCTTTGTTTTGTTTTTCTGGAGAGATTCAAGAGGATATTTGAGTGATATCTGCTATATATCTTGGGTAATATCGGAATAATACAATGATCAGAGTTCATTATAGGAGCACGTCTGCATGCCTCATATATTTCCTCATCATTAGTAAATACTAGATCCAGTGTTTTATCAAGTCGAGTTGGAAATTTGACAATATTGACATGACCTAATGATTCAAGAAAAGAACAGTCACAGGTGTTGAAATCTCCTGTGACAACTGATAAAGAGTTTTCAAGATGTGTAACAGCAAATACTGTGAATTCATCGGCAAAATCAGGTAGATCCGAGGCAGAACAGCCAGGAGTAACATAAATGTTTGAGATGAAGACGTATTTAAACTTGGATAAGTGTTTCGGACGACATTTGACTGTAATACAATCAATAAAGTCACTAGAGAAAGAAAAACATACATTATTTGAAGTTGACCACTGAGAATGAATGAAGGTTGCGACGCCACCACCTCTTTTCTTTCTAGAGCATATTCGATCTTGCCTAAACAATGCAAACCTATTTAGAGAAACCAGGTTGTCGTCATAAAGATCATGGAGCCATGTTTCTTGTAATGCGACTATCGCCGTATTGTGATAAGTATTGGATGATAAGAGAGACTGGAGATGCATAATTTTGTTGGGAAGTGAACGGCAGTTTGAACTGACAATAACAGGAATAGTTGTAGGATATAATGGTGTCCGTTTGAGAGCACGTTGCCAGACACCATTATGTTTTCTCTTAGTTTTATTAGATACATGAAAGTCATATGGTTTAAAACATTTAATGAATTCATTACTGTATTTGATACGATTTGTGATCATATTTTGTTAAAATTAAAAATGAAAACATGATGTATTAGATGCAAATATGAAGATGTACAGAAAGGTAGCCCAGGTGTCAAACAGGCCGCCAGTGCTTTTCAGTATTTACTTCACTACTATCCCACTCACATTTCCATTCTCTACATTCCACTAAGTTTTATCTACTCTCACCTTCCTCACACTAATCATATGGACACTCAACCACTGGCTTCCTTCTCATTGAATGACATGTTGCGTATTATCAAATTTCCTAGCCCTGATCCCACAGTGGCGTTGTTTATTGCTTGGTCACATCCTAATGTCATCTAATTGTCTGAGTTAGGCGTGTTTTTAATCCCACTTATCTTCAGAAATCCTGTCAGAGTCACTGTATCAATTACATTCCTCCGCCGCCTCAACCATACAATTATAGACTACTGGACGTCTTCCAGTAAATACGAAAGCAATTATGCAGCCATCGAAATATGAAACTGTCACTAAGCGAAACTCTCTTCACTGAATTTTCTCCTAAATCCTCATTTGTGTTGATCAGACCACGCTGATGTGCTGCATCTGATAGTTTGAATGGATACTTGTAAATAAGTTCTGTGTTGCAGTGAAATGTGAGTAAATCCATGCGTCGAATTGACCTCACATCACGCTCATTTGCAGTGATACTCTGTCACGTGATCACAACACAATTGTGCATAGACCTCTCTGTACGTGAAGTGATGACTCAATCTTTGTTTCTTTTTCATGAGTATGTCAAGTTCAAATGTCACTCACTGCTTGAATCACACTTGAACTGCATGATGAATACATTTGTGATTTGTTTGTGATTGGTGACATTAGTACGTGACACTCTAATGTATTCACTCGCCTTGACTCGTGTATGTGTATATAAAGTGATGCATGTTTTAGAATTGCATGACATCGGTTTTGAAAATCCGAGGACGACTATTTGACTGAGTAAGTGCATGAATTCTCCACACTCTGTCCAATACTTAATCGCTTCAATTCGTACCATGTGATTAACATCCCCTCTTCATTTATCTTGGCTTTAGCATCACAATGAGACTGGCTATCACTATCCTTCTCACGTTGTTCTGCTGCAAGTTCCTTCTGGCTGAACCAGTACCTCTCAGTTTAAGTGGTGAAGGTAGGTTTGCCTCATGAGCATCAACGATTTATACTTATACATGTATATATGTACACATCAGCCGTAAAGTTATTTTGAATTGATTGGCGATGTTATGCACAACGCATTTTCGTGCGCTTATTATGCTTGTGATTTCGTGGCCCTGTAATACCGTTTCCTCGGCTTGTCCATTTTTCAATCTCTTGATTCAATACGACCATTCATTTATTCATTGTCAGATTGTCCTCTATATTCGATGTCGTGAATTTCCTTCCGAACGTTACCAGTTATTCATCAGAATATCTTATATGGCTTCTTTCATTGGTGTAGAAATCGTGAGCATCCGCTTTGTCTGTGTCAGACCAGATCAGATGGAATTTGTCGTCAGCACTTTTCTGTCAAGTGGCCGTCAGCCACACGTCAAAATGGACGACTATATGTTGTTTGTTTTGTGCTAGGCATATCCGTCTGTTTATGGCCATTCATTCAGTGTAGTCTAATGCCATTGAGCACAGTTATTTTTATGTGTGTGTGTATTAACATTTGTCTTTTTCTTCATTACACGCTTGGCTGTCAAATCTTCAGACCAAAATGGAACCTTACACGTTACATCGGGAGCGGAGTCAAATAAAACACAAGCGAGAACCACTGATGACGGAAATCCTGCCAATGTGACTGTATCTCCTTCTAACCGTAGTGATAATGGCACAGCTGTAACTTCTCAACCAAAATTGCTTCGTGGTTCGTATGGCGACGACTATATCGATCCCAAATATAGTCATCACTCCGGTTATGGTTCCCACTATGGTTATCACAAGGGTGGACACAAAGATTATTATCCTAAATACGGTGGCAATCATGGTTATGGTAAATATCCTAAGGGTCGTAAATACGGAAAGCACTATTACGGCGGTGGTAAATATGGTAATCATAAAAAGTACGGTTATAATAAGGGATATGACAAAAAACACCATGGTAAATATCCTAAATATGGCAAAAAGCACTATGGTGGTCACTATGGTGGTAAGTATCAATACTCGAAATATTGATTGCATTGTTCATGAATACAAATGTGGAAGTGAAAATCAATCATTGCGGTGTGAATTCAGTTTGCACAAACATTTTGACAAATTGGAACATTTCTTGCCTTGTGTTCAATTGATATTTGTAGCATATTCGTTTTAGGTGTGTTCAATTCAACTGAAATTAATTTTTATTAGAAATATAGAAAGTTTGTTGATAATCGCTTCCGACTTCTATCAATTCTTGAATTCATTGGTTTCATGGGTAGTTTATTGACTGATATAAAATATCTATTCGCTGTTTCCTCCTGTTCACTGATTCACTCTCCTACATCGGAATCTTCTGTGTAACGTTTCATATTTCCGAAAGTATTTGAGGAGTTAGTTTGCAGCTTAACACCACTCATTCCTGAAATGAAGGGCACTTTGATATTATGTAGTTCCATTTGTAGTTTTAATAGATTCACCACACGATGTCTCAGTGTTTATTACTGAATGACGAAGTGTCTTATGCAGATGATTTTCAATGGGTTATGAAGAATGAACTGGGTATAAAACTCTGTTTGATAATGAATTCTGTTTCACTGTGTCATACATCTTATGGATGAAGGAATGCAAATTTGAGGTATCTGTCAGCGGGAACAGGATGCATACACGTTATTTTACACTATTCAGTTATTGATATGAGATATATCGAATACCACTCAGTTAAGGCAGGAATACTTCCTGGCAGGTTCGAGATGATTAGGGCTATTGAATTTGTTTGTGGAACAGTGTTGTAGTATGTGGTCAGCTAGGTAACTGGTTTCAACTGACTTCAAAATATTTGCAAGAAATCTGTCATATATATTTACATAGTTGAATGGCGAATGAACTTTCAAAACAATATCAGTGGAATCACTTGGTTACAATTATGATTACTGATGTATTTTCCCATTGGGTTCCGAGTGGAACATTGGGATTATGTGGCATATCCCCATTTCACTTCGTTCACAGTAGTCCTAATAAGTTGGCTTCACGAGTATCCACAAGCTCTCACATTCTTCTCATGTAATGTTCAGTGTTTCGTTCTCTTGACAGTGTGAGATTAGTTTATCTCGCTTTCCTTCGCGATATTTGTTCTGATTTGACACTCATGTCCACGCAAACAGTGGTTGTAACGATGCGGACCAGATATTTGAAAGAAGTGACTTCATCCTTCTCATGGTAATTGTTGCTCGCTGTTATTATTTCGGTATCCTCAGCACCGCTGTCTTACAACTGTCCACCTGATTTCCTATCTTCTCTGCCTCTTGTGTCACTTTGTTGTTTTTTGGGTGTTTATCTTCAGGTTTCGATTGGGACATCAGTATTCGGCAGCATTTCGCCATTTCATTTTGTTCATTATAGTCTAAATTAGTTGAATTCTTGAGTGTTCAAAGTCTCCCAGCTTTTCCTCGCATGACCTTCCCATTTTTCTTAGCCTGCTCAGATGCCTCAGTGTTCTTCTACATTTCATTCAAGATATTATATCTGCAAGTCTCAATGTTCATCCGTGGTCTCAGATCTATTTTGCTCATCATTTCTCCTCCTCCAAGTTTTAACATCGAATGACGGCTGGTGTTGATTGAAGTATGAAGCAGCCGCTTTGAAATACTTTCCGTGACTCACCAAATCCTTGACACAGGTAGAAGCACTGAACTGACATTATTGTCAAAAATCCGAATCTTGTTGTTTATGCCGAGTGCAGCGTGTTACTACAAATATTTCATGGTTATAAAAGTGAAGTTGGTAGAATGACGTTAATGGCCATTCCATAATATTCCATTGTCGTGTCTGAAAGTTAAGATAACCTTGACACCCACGAAAATTTAAACATGTCGATCATTTCCGTAATCGATTAAAATTACTGCTAATAGAATTGTCAGATGGTGATTTTAGAACAATAATTATAATAGCGTTGAATATGATCTTGAATTAGAATTGAAAAATACACTAAATCAAATGGTTATGTGAACGTGTATAATTATTATATTTCATTTCATGCACATGAGATCAATGACGCAGTGACAGATAGGAAAATCATAAAGTTGAATTCACAAATGCAAAGAGAAATCTCGTGAACGACATGTTCGATGAATTCGGGCGTGAAGGCCATAACTGAGCATGTATCATTCGACACAAGTAGCATTAAACAGCTAGCTAACAGAAGGTAGACCGCATGTTGAAAATACTTGTGTGTGAACGTGAAGGAGTTGCTTTCTACACCAAAGTGCGATGGCAAGTGTGACATGCTTAGACATCCACGACTCGGATGAAATATAAGTTCAGTGTAACCTGTTGCTCACTCATTCACTCTCTAATGTCGAAAACTACCTTGAAACTTTTCAAAGTTTCGAACGAAGTTTGTCAGTAACTTTCCCACCTATCACCACCTACTCGGAAAATCATGAAGAGACGGACATGACTCTAGTGAAGTGTGTATCTAGAATTCAAGCATACAACTAAGTAACAGAGAAATCTAATTACGTTTTCCAGTACACATTCTCCCACATGCAGAAAGCTATTCATTGTTGACAGTTCAACAGTGACCAATGAAATCATGTTGATGAATTCAATATCACAATCTCCTGTTCGAGTGATGTCAATGCATCCAGAATACCAGTCATTAATAGTTAGTTCAAGCATGCATCAAGAGCCTGACAGCGATAATATTGAAGAATCATTATGATACCCAGTTTCATAATTGTCATGTAAGTGAATCATGGGATATGTCAATGAATGGAGAGTTTTAATTTGACAAATATGGATGAGACAGTGAACATCTCTTTATTTCAACTTATTACGCTTCCATTTCAAATACACGTCAATAGAAATTCCCAGGCGAATGAGTGTGTTATTTTCCAATATATTTCAAAATTTCAGATACGTTTCGAAAGAGAAACAATACCGTGAGTACTTTTGTAAACAAATTAATGCATTTTCAATGTGACTTCCTACTAATTTGTTGTACAAGAAAAAAGCTTCAGCATCACTCGATTCACTTTTCATCAAAATTGAGAACGAAGAACATTATGTTAATGAGTCAGTTAACAGCAGTGATATGGGGCCTCCGAGGAAATCGGAATCACTGGTGGACACGCAATTAATGATGACCAGACGTGGAGGCAGGTGGACCGAATGGAATTCCTCTGCAGGCACAAAAAATTTGCCTTCTTTGTGTTTTCGATGCTGTTATTGGTGAATAGAACCACATAGATCCAACAAAGAGTAGTAGTCTTTTGCTGCTTTTGCAGCGTTTTGTGACTGTGTGTGCCTCATTGAAGTTTAATCAGCTACACAGTAGGACTCAAATATCAGTCTCCTAAGTTCCGAACACAACAAGTCGGTTTTGGTCGTAAAACTTCATTCAACAAAACGTTTCATAAATATAGTGTTCTTTACCTAATTTCACTGCCTAGATAATGACCGAGTATCGCGGGTCCTAACACGATTCCTGGATTTCACTAATAGGCACCACCTATCACACGAGAAAATTCAATCGGCTTTCAGTCTTCATTGTAATGGTCCATTTTGGAATTCATCTGAGCGAAATGATTGTTCTTACTTATTTCAGCTGCAGGTATTATTGATCAATGAATTGAAATTCTCATTCCGACCGCCAGCAGACATGTGCATTTTCGAATAGTTGCCGGTGAAATATAAACACTTGCCTAATTTTGAAGTAAAACTCGAATTGTTGGATACATTCCCATAACTATTATTCCGATCTTTTCTCTCATTTCACGCCCTTGATGATAAATACGTGTGACACAGGATACTACACTATGAACCAGGTGGGAATGAAAAATACTAGATCCTGCGTTTCCATGCATAATCTGCATACATATTTAACCATGTTCAATTAGATAAAATTCGGTTTTATCATTTCACGTAAACGCATAGAATAAATCAACACTGTAGAAGGAATTTAATTTTGACTGTAAGTACCTGACAATTCTGTTCTTCAAATACATGTGAATTAACCAGGAATCGATTTATGCTCAAAATAGAAGACGAATACTTTGTCGGTTGAAATCAAATTGACCATACTGTCAAGTCACTTAAACCACAATTTTCAGTGTCATACTGAAGATAGTTGGATTATAAGCCAGTAGCTGAAAAGAGAGCATGACTCACTTGTTGAATCGCTTTTTCCTTGTGACATGTTGAAGTGCAAAGAGATAACTCGAAGATGTGCGATAACTTCTAACTGATGTCAGCTACTCGTGAAATCATTAATGAAATTCCAGTGTAAATGTGTGATTCAACCTCCAATTGCCTAATCGGCTACAGTTCTAAGGGAGTATATATCATCTGTATGCATCCGTTTGCATATGCTTTGCTCATCTTGTGTAGTACATCAAATTTAAAGTTTTATCAATTTCGTTATTTTGCCTTACAACTTCTCAAAAAAATATTAATAGAATATCTTCATCTGATTGGACTCTGTGTATGACGAAATTCACCCATTTATGCTCATGAACTACTGAGATCGTACCTTGGAGAGTGTGGAAGTAAAATATCGAGAAATTTAAAGTCATAAATCAAGTTGAAAGAAATTAAGTCACGTAGAAAGTGTGCGCGCCTAAAAAATCAAGGTAGTCCTCCTGAGGCTGTGATGAAACAGTAAATATGCACTGCTCAGTCGATCACAATTCGAATCAATCAAATATTCAATACATTCTAGTATTCACGAATTCATTAAATGACGCTAAAATCAGTCTTGAAGATTTTCATCAGTTTGCATCAAGTTTCGTGGTAACGGACTACACCTACTCCCAATTCGCACACAAATATCCATGAATCTAGTGGCAAGTTGTCTACAATTATCACATATAAGTAGATATTATTGAAATTAGGTCGAATTTCGTGAATCAGAAGACTGTTCATTGTCGAAAGTCCGAGTAGAATCAGTTACATCAGTATGATGAATTAGGTATCTAATTCTCTTGTCTAAGTGTTGTCAAGGAAGTCAGACAA